CCCCCATATTCGTCTCCATGACCTTTTCTGGTTGACCTTTGTCTCCTCAGGTTGCCTGCTATGACCAGGACGTGGTGACGGACATGGAGGCGGAGCCAAAGGATCTGGGGGCGGAGCATCACGCCACCCAGACCTTGACGTTCACGGACAGCATGGGCGAGGTGAAGGACGAGCAGGCGCCCGGCTGGTCTGCGGCCTCCACCGACATGAAGTTCGAGTACCTGCTGTACGGCCACCGGGAGCCGCTGGCCTGCCAGGCGTGCGGGAAGACCTTCGTGGACGAGAGCCGGCTCAGGTATGTGCACACCTGGGCGGAGCCACCTTCCACAACCTGACGGAGCTGAACGCTGACCCGCTCTGCCTCCCCAGGAAACACGAGAAGCTCCACTCGGCCGAGCGTCCGTTCGCCTGCGAGATCTGCTCCAAAGCCTTCACCACCCACGCTCACCTGAAAGGTAGGACCTCCCCCTTCTGACCGCCGCCTCAGGCCTGCTGTGTCTGACTCCGCCCCCTCCGCCCGCCCGTCTGTTCCAGAACACCTGAAGATCCACACGGGCTTCAAACCCTACCGCTGCGAGGTCTGCGGGAAGTCGTTCATCCGAGCTCCTGACCTGAAGAAACACGAGCGGGTCCACAGCAACGAGCGGCCGTTCGCCTGCCAGATGTGCGACAAGGTGAGTGCAGATCCAAGATGGCCGTTCGCCTGCCAGATGTGCGACAAGGTGAGTGATGATCCAAGATGGCCGCCTCTGTCTGACGGTGAAGCAGAGGGAGGCCTGATCCACGGCCTGATGGCCTCCAGCCGTCTCTGTCTAGATGTTCCTCTGGTCTGAGGAGGTTAGGTCTCCTCTGGTACCGGGAGCGCTCCGCAGGAGGAGTAGGAGGCGCAGGAGGCGCAGGAGGAGCAGGAGGAGGAGGAGCAGCAGGAGGAGGAGGCGGCTTCTACCAACCCGCTAACCCTCCATCCGTCCGTCCGTCTGTCTGTCTGTCTGTCTGCAGGCCTTTAAACATAAGTCCCACCTGAAGGACCACGAGAGGAGACACCGAGGAGAGAAACCCTTTGTCTGTCCGTCCTGCACCAAGGCCTTCGCCAAGGTACCAGTGCTCCCAGTTACTCCAGCTCTGTGGCGCCCTGAAGGGGCCACATCCTGTCAGGGTGATGATGTCAGAGTGATGTCAGGGGTGGGCTGCCTCCCCGGTTGATCAGGGTTCTGGTCCAAATCCTGATCTGTGGAGGTGATGATGATGTTGGCGGTTGGACTGTGAACAGGAGGAGGAACGGCGGGTTGATCCGTCCAGAACCTTTTGGTAGAGACTGGTTCTGGTTCCGGTTCAGGTTCTGGTTCCGGTTCCGGTTCTGGTTCTGGTTCTGGTTCCGGTTCTGGTTCCAGTTCTGGTTCTGGGATCAGAACCAGAACTGGAAACAAACATGTTGATGGATTCAGAGCTTTCAGTTTCTTCCAGTAGAACTAAAAGCTTCTTCTCCATGTGGGGTTCTGGTTCTGATCCAGCAGACCTCAGAGGTCTGGCTGTCGATCCTCTAACAAGTCAGTGATGCGTTCAGGAGCGACTCTGTGATTTCTAGACTAACAGCAGCAGAACCGCCATTAACTCTACTATCAGAACGTTTCCAGAACCGGACCACCTGGTTCTCCTTTGGATCAATGGTTTATTTTCTGTGTCTGACTGGACCGGGTCCCATCAGGGTTCTGACCCGTTCTGACCTCCATCTTCCTCTGTTCCTCCAGGCATCCGACCTGAAGCGTCACGAGAACAACATGCACAGCGAGAGGAAGCAGCTGAACCCTCTGCAGAGCGACACCGAGACGCTGCAGGCCGCCGCCATGGCGGCCGAGGAGCAACATCTGGAGAACATCAGCTGCTC